TTTGTACAAGCAATTAGGGACGCGAGAGTGTAACCACGGTTTGTTTTTGCGATTTGGGCGATACTAATTTTTGGGATGTGGAAACGACATACGTGCGTGAGTGCTAAGGACCAAGTGTGGTGGTATTTGTTAATGTGCCGCGGTCACTACAGCAAGCCATCGAGGAGGTCGCCTTCGTGAAGAAACTTCATGTTGTGAAGTTCTCGATGTGAGGGGGGGGGGGGGTGTCACGTGCCTGTGACGATTATTACGGGTGGAAGAAGAAAAGAAGCGGAAGGGAACGAGCGCGTTCCAGAGAACGGCGAGCGCGAGCAGAGAACGGCGAGCGCGAGAAGAGAACGACGGGCGCGAGAGGAGAAGGAGCGGTGAAAGCCAGGGTCGGGCCGCGACGCACGGCGACGACCAGAGCTCGGAGGGAGGACCAGCCGCTACGGACGGCGACGCCTGCTACGAGCAACTCCAGGGGGAGTACGAGACACCGGCTTCCGCATCATCACATCAAGCGGCGACGCTCCGCAAGGCACCGAGGGGAAAGACTTGAACCTAAGGCAAGGACGGTAGCGGGAACGGGCTATGAGTGTGTTGACGTGACTTTGACTGCCTTCAGTGTTTTGCTTTTCTTATTGCTAATTCTTTTCCGATTGTATCGCTTCTGACACGTTCCTATCTTCATTCTTGTAAATATATAATTTCTTTTCTTGATCCTCTCATGGGCGTCGCTTCTCTCTTTTCCCGATTGATGATGACAACCACGAAAACTAGGGATGTGCGAATAGTGGTTCGAATCGAAGAGCGCAGCGTCATCCCTAGCTTCTGCACTGTTGAAAAACCGGTGGTCTAGGCTTTCCCTTACACTGTCAAGGCAATGAATGACGCAGCGCTATTCGATTCGAACCACTATTCCCACAACCCTAACGAAACCTTTACAGTGTTAAAGCTAGCGGTTGCACAGAGATATTGAACTCGAACCGGTATTCGCACACCGCTCGTGGTCAAGAGATCCAACGAATCAAAAGATCCACCGAGTCAAGAGGTCTAAAAATGGATCTCTTGACGCGTTGGACTTTCTGACTCGCCAGACACGAGCCAAGAGATACAATGTGTGCGAAGAGGTCCAACGCGCCAAGCGATCCAACGAGTCAGGAGATATATGTAGAGTCAAACGTCCAACGAGCCAAAAGGTTTAACGAGCCAAAAGGTTTAACGATTCAGGAGGTTCAATAATGGATCTCTTGAAGCGTTGGATCTCTTGACTCGACGTACGCGAGTAAAGAGATTCAATGTGGGTCATGAGGTCCAATGACTCGAGAACTGCCGCGCCATATTGCAAGGGGTCACGGAAAGCCCCTCACCACTCCTCCCCTAGTGGCGGGGAGGCACCTTTAAAGAGCAGCAATTTTGGTTTATGAGTGGTCAGAATTATGTCGTTATTAAAGGGGTCATGTAACGATTTTGGGATTTCGGCCAAACAAGTTTGGCAGCTACTCTCCTTCAGTTGTACAAAAAAGATCAGAAGCCAGACTCACGATGAGCTTTTTAGGCTCCGACAACTTAGCTTAGCAGTTCGTAAGTTAAGCACATCGTTAGAAGTGGAGAAATCGGTATTCACGAACGCGTTCTTAAGTGAGAAAAGGAAAGTGCAGTTTCAAGGAGTTCTCATAAGCGAGAGCGGATCGTTCGACAGCGGCTTCTGCAATACGAACAACGAATCGTAGAACTCGGCATAATTCGGAGAACGTGGATTCTGAATAAAAACAAACGCAAACGGCCTTTCCGCCAACGCTTGTCTGGAGGTCGTGCCTGTACAGTGAAAGGCCAACGGGCCTGAATGCAGAGGTCGGGCTAACCGCCTTCGTCGCCTGACACGAACTCGATCGCTACGAAGTCAATACACAAACGGCGCACATGGAAACAAATCGCCGCGATGTTTTTCGCAGCCTCGGGGATAAAGGAGCGAGCTGACGTATACAAGAAGGTACGCTTGAACTACGAGTGTCAGCAAGAACCACGTATAGACATTTTCTGTTTTCTGCCGTTCTCAGTCACGTGGTTCTGCATCTGGAATGTGGGACGACAATATAAGTAATCATGTCAACCTGGAATATGCGAGACGATATAAGTGATGCAAAAAAAGAAGGTGTAACAATCACGCATTTTTCGTATGCACCTTCTAGCGGCGTAATGAGATCAAAACGAGGTTTTACCGCATACAAGAAGTGACGACATTCAAGAATGCTGCGCCCTTCTGGAAAAGGTTTATACCTTTTCACACTGGGAGCGGACACGCGAGTGTTTTATCGAAGCACTGGAACCGCGCTGTTGGACCGCTTCTTGGTAAGCGCCTTGGACCGACCTTTTTCAATTGCGACTTGATGTTGACATGACACTCGGCAGATGATAGTTGTACCGCCAGCGCTTAGCTCCCACGAACTGCCCTAGCTCGACAGTGCTGAGGTATACCGTCGTGTCGGAATAAAAAGGCCATACTAATAACAAAGAGTACGTACCGTATGTGTCGAAGGTAATCCATACGGCTTTTATTTGAGCTCTATATCACACAAAACAAGGAATCGATGAGAGCTGTCCCTTTTTGACGAGAGCGTTCGCCACCACTGCCTCTGAAAACAAGGCGATGACAAGGAGACGAGACTGACCTCTTAAAAAAAAAAATGAGGTCAGCGATTAAACTATTCGTATACAGGAACGGTCCCCAAAGGTCGCGTGGACATATTCTTTTCGGCGAGTCAGCCGGTCGTGGGTAGACGGTCTTGGCCAGGGTCGGGCCGTCGGAGCAACGCTGCGTCGGCGTGCTCTGCTAAGCCTAGTGCCGAGATAGCCCTTGGCGGTCGCTTGGTCGGTGGGTTCGTAGTCATGTAGCTTTTTCCGGATATCTGTGAATCCAGCGTTTACCTCCGTCGTTGTCGGTTTCGAGTGCTTCTTTCTTTTTATAGCTCATCTCTTAGGCGCCCGTCTCCGGCTTGAGCGGCGTCGGCGTCACCGTAGGCGTAACCGCGAGCCCTGTGACGAGAGCGTCCGCCACCACCACACACTTGGAAATTGACAACAGGACGAAGGTGATTTAATACAGCTTCTAACCTCAAGATCAAGGTTCGAACAATTTATATCTGAAAGGGTTCACTGAACATAAAAAAGTCGCACGAACATTTTTCATTTAACAAGGCAGCCGGTTGTAGGCAGGAAGCGCGAGTGTCGAGCTCCTTACTATAGGCCTTGCCTGTTGGCAACTCTACGACCACTCAAGTCGGTGCGATGGTTGTCGTTGCTTTCAATATCAGTGGATCTAGCAGTTTTTACCTATACTCGTTTTCACCTTAAGAACCGAAGTAAAACAAGTCCGGCTGGTGGCGGAGTGTTCTGGGTTTCCACCAATGAAATGCCGCGATATCGCGTAGACTTAACCACTCTCCGTCGGGAGGTGGTGGGATCCACAATTAGAAACCGAAACCAAAACGAATTTAGCACTGCGGCATCCTATAGTGGCATAAAGCTAGAACATACTTCGTTAAATAGTGTTTGTTTCTGATAAACATGCTTATGCTCTGCACAATTTTGCATCGCTTCTTTAAACTGTCTGCAATAAACATATCTTTGTATATCTAACATTGTTTATACCGTCGGCTCTCTAAAAACACTGTGAGAAAAAAATCAGTATGTGCCAGTTTTAGCGCATTTACAGTTTTTAACTGCAACCATGGAGCACTAAAGCAAAAAGATCAGCTGACATCATCGACATCGCCGCAAACTTGATGAACTCGGATTGATCAGACCTGCTACCAGCCACGAACCTATGTTTGCATAGTTTATTCTGTCCTAACATACCTTTGTTTACGTTATTGCGTTGACGTTCATGTGTATGTATTGAGTGGGCAATCGGTTTCCTTGTGTGTCGCGGTGAATTTCAATTTTTATTCTTTAATTCCGTTTTCTAAAGTTCCGTGGTGTGGGGATGGTGGTACAAATCCTGATTATAAGCAGAAACAGCGTGGTTGATGTGAGATACGTTCTTCCAGGATCCCATCAAAGCTTCTGCTTGTTGCCAGAGTGGCCCTGTGTGAGGATGGCGATAAGAATCCCGATTATAATCTGAAACAGCATGGTGGATGAGAGATACGTTTATTGCCAGAGCGACCCCAAGGCATGTGGACGGCATTTTGTGAGTTTACTTTCCCACAAACCGCCTGGGGAACTGATCACTGCAATAAAGGAGCTATCTCAATGAAAGACTGGGCTGAGCATGATGTTTAGACCTCGAAATGAGGTGTAAGCAACACTGAATATGCATGAGGTGAGCAAGTGAAATGTTAAGCTCAGGGTCACATTTCAGAACAATGGTCGACTTTCGGCATGCCGCCAACACTACGTCTTCTTTCTTGAATGAAAACGACCCTTAAAGTGTAATTGTATGCATATATGTTTATAATGCAAAAGGGCCAAATGGCGCCTGACACCTCTGCTGTAATGGGCAAATTAGCGAGTGCAGTACAACTGCAATTTTTTTTGTAGTGTGAATCTTTGTACACAGTGGGATACATACAGCTGATTTCAAAGACCTCGAGAAGCCATGAACAAGGCTATTACGTAATGAAAGGTAGAATCACGACAACAACATGACACTGGAGGTTAGGCGTGTATGAAGTCGGGAATCCGATTTTGCAGTATGTGAATGGTCCTCAGAAAGGACCGCTCTGTGTTCTGGGGTATGACAAACAGAGTCCAAAGTTCTAGCCACTTTCAGAAGAGAACATGTCCTAGGGGGACATTAGTTCCTGGTCAATTCCATTCTAAAGGCTGAACACCGGAGATCTCTTCACCCTCATTCTCGTCGTCAGTTTCGTCATCGTCTCCACTCTCCTCCTCCTTATCGCATGCATCGAGGGGTATGATGACTGGCTCGAGGTTCGACTCTGGGACATCATATTCTCGAAACTTCGCCTCCATTTTTTTCACATGCTCTACACAGTCATGCCAATGGACAGCTCTTACGTTGTCCACTGCTTCCTCAAGAGTCGCTCGGCGTCATTGGGCTTGAATGTGATGTTCTTGGAGGCGACCTCCTGCTTGACTCGTGCCCATATCAACTCTATGGGATTTAGTTCGCAATGGTACGGTGGGAGCATCAACACTGTGTGTCCGGCGTTCGTAGCCATGACGTCAACTTTGTACTTTGTGTAGCGGTCCTTCACCGTTGCCACGATGCTCAGAAGGTCTTTTTTCTACATTGTGGCAGTCCAGTCTAGGTTCTTGGAAGAGAGCCACTGCTGGATCTCGCCCTTCTTTGTTGCAGTTGTGGGAACAGCTTCAGCCTTTCTGCTGTGGTATGGCGCGTTGTCTATAACAATTACGCTGTTAGGATCGATGTGGTCCAGCAGATGAAGAAACCATGCTTCAAACCTGTTCGAGTCCATTTCATCGTGGTAGTCCCCCTTCTTCTTCCCACGGAACACGTCCAAGCAGCCGGACACGAAGCCAGTGTCACTACCTGCGTGGGTGACAATCACTCTTTCACCTTTTCCAGAAGGAACCTATAGCCCGGTCGTCAGTCCAGACATGAAGGCTTGCCTTGCTGACTTTATGGTGCTGTCAGTCCACACCTTGTCAACTGTGAGGCCGGCGTTCAGCCAAGTCTCGTCCTGGAAGTAGATCTTGCGGTTCTGGGCTCTGTGCTTTCTGATTGCCGTCAAATACCGCCGCCTCCACTCGATGATGTCCTCTCTCTCAATCAGGAAGGAGTTGCGATTTCGTTTGTGTTTCTCGAAACCCATGTCATTCAGCAGGCGATACAGGGTAGACCCGGAACAGGACGGCAGCACTTCGTCTTCTTGGAGACGAGCGGCGATTTTCTTCAACGTTGGGATCTCCCCCCGACGGAAGAAATTGTGCAGGCAGCTTCTCACGGCCGTCAAAGTGCACGCCTCGTGATTTAAAATCCTCTTCCTTTTTTCGGCGAATTTCGGGCGCTTCTTTGAAGGAGATTTCACAACTCCGTTGGCACGTTTGAAGCCACGCTTGATCTCGTAGACCGAGCTAACACTGATCCCCGTTGCGGCGGCAGTCAGGTTGATGACTTCCACCACATTTTTTTTCTTGGTACTGCCGCCGCATCCAAGAATAAACGTTGAAAACACACTGCCTTGTCTGGCTCGACAGGACATTTCCACTTGCGTGACGTTTGTAGTACACCCGAGGGGAAACGTCTTCAGGAAGGAGTGCTGACATCACAGACCGATCAGCCAGAGCTGTTGGAGTCGCCATTTTAAAAGGCGAGCAACAGCGGCAGGCCGGCTGGCTACGAACATCGATCCTCAGATCTTGTGAGGCGTTGAATTACGTGAATAGACGCGTATACTAAGGAGATGTATTATTTATCCTACTGAGAATAAAAAATTTATTTAAGCTTAAATAACGCTAGCATCCCAGAGAGCAAACTTTTATCGGAACTACTTCGCAGAACGGAATAACATGTGCGACGGCATGCGACCAATAAGCATGCGACGAGAGGGACACACCCACTTTTTTCTTAAGGTGAAAACGGGTATAGAATTGTTTTTTCGAGTACGTATTTCTTTTCTTTTGCTGCTCGGAGTGGGGAGGCGCGTGAAGAGCTCGAAGAAGTATGCTCGCTGGTCTCCAGGGCGAAGTATCCAAGTGGTGTTGGCGGTCATGAAGCTTATCGTATACTTCTATCGCAATCTTCACAATACATTCGTCCGTTTCCCTTGGCAAATTCGGATTTGTTCTTAAATTTCGTCGTACTCACGTTTTGCGTCATAGCAAAAAGAAAAAAAAAAGGTAAACACATGCGCTGCGCTACCCGCAAGGTGAAACACAGCGACTGCTGGGTGTGACGTCGGAACTGCTAAAATGCCATTTTGGAGCAGATGGACTGAACGAACGGTAAAGGTGCGAGCTCGCACCATAGAGTCCACATAGGCGTTTTGTAGTAAATCGTGTAATACACCCGACACGAAAATTCCATGGCGTTTTGGAACCAATAAGGGTGTATAAGGTAGAAAGTATTTCGTGAACCCGTCAAATAATTTTATTGGACAGAGACTAGGACTGCCTTGTGGTAATTGAAGAACACTTGGAAAATCGCGCGGCCAAATTTCAAATCCAGTGAACGACGAAACTCACTGTGTATGCATGAACCGTTCCCTGTCGTTGGTGTGACTGCCTAAATGTCTTATGCAATGTTATTGGACACAAACTAACACCGCAATGTAGTCACTGAAGAACACTTCCAAAATCAAGCTCTCACATTTCAAGCGTGTAGCTCCACCTAATTTCAAGCCCGTGGTTTCGCCGGCTTAACACCCACCTAGCTTTATTCGTTGTATCGCTCGAGAACCTTTCTTGCATAATTAGTGAAAACGCTGTGTTTTTATTGTTTCCAGTATTATCAGTCTCATGTTTATGTTTCTACGTGACGTCATGGTGTTACGTGACGACGTATTGTCACGTGACGCCTGAATGTCACGTGAAATCACAGTGTCACGCGACGTGATGACATCACGTAACATCATAACATCACGTGACTCACGGTGTCACCTGACATCATTAAGTTGCGTGCCTTCACTATGCAACGTAACTTGACATGACAATGTTACGCCATGGTGTCAGCTGACGTGTCAACGCAGATAATGCAAAGTTGCAGGCGAGCTGGACAGAATAGACGATCGTTTATTCTGCCCAGGTTGCCTACAACTTTGCATTAACATAATAAATTTAAACTGCTGGCCGTTAACTTCTGTTGGTGTTAGACTGGTGGCAGCTAATAAAACCCGTTTGCTCTACAAGCGTTTAACTCTTGGTTAGCTCAGCAAGTAGAGCGCTACACTAGAAAGGGAAAGGTCCCCGGTTCAATACCAGTACCCTACGGACTTTTTCAGCGCGCATCAGTCACGAAACTGTGTTTGGCGATTTGTTTGTCCTTTGTCGCCCCTGTTCCCCTTCTCCAGGGATTATTATCGTTTAGGTGACCTGGTGCTCGTCGTGACGTCAAATTCGTGTCAAGCGGCGCGACGTCAATGTGGAATCTTTTGTCACAGTGGCGAAAATGGCCCGCATCGATATGAAGCGCGGTTGACGGCGCGAAAACTGCGAAGTATCCCACTACGGCTATGGCAGTAAAATATACCTAGCAAAGTGTTTCTGCTTCTACGCGTTAAAGTACACAACGAAAGCAAATCAAAACAGAGAAAATACCCGTCCCCGTCACATGATCCTGGCCCTTACGTCACCATCGAGCTATCGTAGCACTCCTAGCGTCCCGCTCGAGGCTAGTAAACATTGCCACAAATGCCAGGCGGAGAGACGATAAATAACGAAAGAAAATAAACCTTTAATGTAACAAACTTGCGGCAAGGCACAAAAATAAATAAATAAAATAACGCGCGTCAAGATGACAGAAACAAGCGTCGTCGTATCGGCGGGACAGCTGGCTTGAGGGCTTCAGCAAGGCTGACTCGGCGAGGCTACCAGGACTCCTCATCTTCTACACTACAGTCGGTGACAGGTTAAGAATTCAAAAGAAGCTCCTTCCACCTTTTTCCACTTGAGCAAAGCGAGGAGGCGACCTCCCTTTCTTTTGACAAAAGCGCCACAAGACAAGCCCATAAAGTAAGAGAAACAGTAAGCGCTTGTGCCGTGTCTCTTACTTTGTGTTCTTGTCTTGTGGCGCTTTTGTCAAAAGGAACAATGTACCAACCAGCCCATCTCTTACTATTGACCTTCTTTCCAGCGTTCACGCTGCCAAAGTGGAAAGGGCTGGGAAGAGGTTCCCCTGAACTCTTAACCTGTCACTGACTATAGGTTATCTGGAATATTCGGCCTTGAATGCTGGAGGGTCAAACTTTCGAGGTAAGAGTAAACACAAAACTTCTAAAAAAATGGGGTACAATAAATTGATAACCGCTATATCTCAAACGCGGGGCGTCGAACCCCGGACGCCTGCGTGGGACCCGCGTGCGTGCCCTCTCAGTCACGCAGCTCCAATGAGCGTCTTGCGCCACAGCCGAATAGGCAACCTGCATTGCTGTTTGGTTTAGCGCTAAGCACCGACCGAAGCAATAAACCTTGGGTACGCATGGGAGTGGCGGCTGCATTTTTTCAAACGTGAGCTATTACTCTTGTAGTTCTGCTTAGCCAAGCGTCTGAAGCAAGAAATACTGGGTAGGCCGGGAAGCCGTGATCGGACCACGTGCCAAGACGGCGGAAGCTACGGCCCTGGCGGGCCGATCGGAACTTGACTACGTGTCACGGGACTGCGCCTTTACTGCGAAGAAGTATTAGGGTTTTCGCTGCGTCAGGCTTGAATGTGCGGGCATTGCGCTCGTACACGTAGCGCATATCGAAGCCGTCGATATGCAATCTGGGGCTCATCGTTCACCCTTTGCCAAGTTACAACGAGACAGGGTATAATCGTAGGCTGTCACACTGCTGGCGTCGCCTGGCTGTTGCCGGCTAGCTATGTAAAAATATTTTGAGAGTGCCGTGTCACTGATAGAGTGGAATCTTTAACGCACGTTAGGCATTAGTGACTAAAGCTCTGCACGGGCCCAGCTCGCGGGCCGCACAGGGCCAGGAAGCATGAGTTGTTCTCGGACCCGGACAGCGAACAAAGCAGCAGTAGTTTATTCTGGGTGGATCAAGTGAACCAAGACTCCTGTAGGGCTCTTTAGTGTTGAGGAGATGAGACACGCTTCGGCCTCTCGCAAAGACGCGCTTCGTCTCCCACAATCGAGGCGCCTTCGTCGCATCAGGTAAGATTGAGAGTCAGCAGGCCTGGACGGGCGTTGCCGAACCGTGGGAAATTTCCAACCTTGTGTTGAAAGCCTAACGCGAAGGGCTAAAGATAAACATAATTCGAATGCATGTAAAATATGCATTAATAAAACAAAACATATCTCTTATTTTATTTGAGTTCGAGTTTAGTTCCCCGTTGTCCCCTGGAGCTATGTTTGTGAGAAATTTCCCACGAGTCGACGACACAGCGGCTTAAAAGACAGGCCTTCTAAGGTAACGAGGTTTTATTACTCGTTATTACGTGCAAGACCAAAAAGTGGAGAGCCTTCGTAGACGCACGCACCTTTCATGGGTGATGACAACTCGACCTTGATACCAAACGACCGGTTTATTCTTTTTTTGCTACGTGCATGCAAAGCGCACACTTTTTAGTAACCCTCGCAGCAAGCATGTAACTTTTATTTTTTCGATGCTTATCAGCCTATCACCGCAAAGCGGTCGTGTACCACTGAGGTCCCCTGAGGGGACCTGGCCGGGACTCACAGAGTAGGGCCGTGCGGTGCTCTAGTAGTGGTACACGATCGCTGTGCGGTGCTAGGCTGGTAAGCACCGAAACATAAAATAAAGTTACATGCTTGCTGCAAGGGTTACTAAAAAGTGTGTGCTTTGCATGCAGGTAGCAAAAAAATGAACCGGTCGTTTAGTATCAAGGTCGACTTGTCATCACCCATGAAAGGTGCATGCGTCTACGAAGGCTCTCCACTTTTTGGTCTTGCACGTAATAACGAGTAATAAAACCTCGTTACCTTAGAAGGCCTGTCTTTTAAGCGATTGCCTGAGAAGCGGTTGTAAGACGTTTCCTGGTTTATTGTTCGTTTTCTTTGACGGCAGCGCTTCGCGTTTTCCTGAATTCTATGCAGCGCGCGCGTCACACGAATAAAGACGGCCACTTTATGTGAAACGACGAGATAAATGTTCCCCCATTATGATTGGAACTCGTCGCTTAGAACGCCGTTCTAAGCGACACGTCGCACGTCGTTTGGCGCACAAAAGTTACAGAAAACAAAATGTTTAGCCATTTCTTAAGCTATTGTCCGTGAAGTACATAATTAGATGCACTGAAATGGGCCTTGACGTTCAATTTATGACTGCAGCAAATACGGGACTAACAGTTCTCTGGCAAAGTTTGCAACAAGGACTTATGTATACACTGAAATATAGTTACAAAAATTTTCACAGCGTTAAATCACATTAAAAAAAGCATACACTGTCTTTCGTAGTTTTCGTAATTCCATTTGTTATTATTATTTTTAGGTTTCTTTTTCGAAGGTTTTATAGCTTCTCTTTTATATAATAATATTGTTTCTTGATGTGACGGCCTTCTTGGACATTTTAATTCCATTTCATT